AACAAAACTATACAATCAATAAAATCCATTTGATAATATCAATAATGATATAATTATATGATATTTTCAAAGTATCAAAATGCTTAAACTATAATTATAGTAGTGTATTGACTTATTTTTATTAATATTAACTTGTTTTTAAAAAAAAAATTACATTTTAATTTTTGACCCACCATACAAAAGGTCCGGGTCTGATGGTGGCCAACGGTGCAAGTTTCCCATGACAATGACTTGGCCAAAAATGAAAAGGAAAAAAGGAGTTAATTGTTTTAATGGTCACTGAACTTAGGTCTATGTCTTTAATTGACCACTGAAGTTTAAAAGGTCGAGTTTTGATCACTGAACTTAGATTCATGTCTTTGATTGATCACTGAAGTTTAAAATGTCAAGTTTTGGTCATTGAACTTAGGTCAATGTCTTCGATTGTTCACTAAAGTTAGGTCCACGTCTTAAATTGCTCACTGAAATTTAAAATGTTGAATTTTGACAACTGAACTTTTGAATATGTCGTACGTTACTCACTAACATAACTGTTGAACTTTGAAAAATATCGAGTTTACAATAATATATAATATTTTTCAAAGTTCAGTGAGTAATGTACAATATTTTTCAAAATTCAGCGAGTAATGTACAATATTGTCAAAGTTCAAAACTCGACATTTTAAATTTTGGTAAGCAATTGAAGACACGAATCTAAGTTCAGTGACCAAAACTCGACATTTTTCAAAACTCAGTGGCCAAAACTTGACATTTTAAACTTTAGTGGGCAATCTTAGATATGGGCCTAAATTCAATAATCAAAACTCGACATTTTAAACTTCAATGGTCAATACGTAAGTTCATTGACCCTTGGAACAATTAACTCGAAAAAAAGGTAGTTGCCCAACGAGTCCCCTTACCGCATCCTCCTGCAAAACTTGACATATCTGTCCATCGAGTCCGTGTCCATTACTACAGAGCTTCATATTCCCTCTGTATGATATCACAGAACCAAGACATGTTCGCCCCGCAATTCAATCTCTGCTAAGAAAACTTGTAAGTTGAATACCTCAGAATTCTTTTCTAAAAATTTGATCAAATCGGATATATTATAGTATAGTGGATCATACAATTTATGGGATATTCGAAAAAGGTTTTTATTTCAATGGACTTCCAGGAAAATGACTTCATTAAATTGGAAAATACAGTAGAGCCCACATGGCCAAAACTAGTTGTGCCATTGGAAAAGATCATAGACAGGCTATCCATAGTTTGGGGATAGTGAATCATCTTAGTTCTGTCAAGGACTCTCCGGAGCTCCGGGCGGCAATCGAACAAGTTCAGGTACAGTAAATGATTTTATAATCAGATAAATATGCTTCTAGTTGAGTTAATTTTGATTGATTTTTTCCCTTCTACTTTCTGTAGCCCGAAAAAGTTGAGTTTCAGTTGAAATTAGGACAGAGTAAGCCCATCTAAAAAAATGGGATGAGCTTTGAGGTTATCATTAAAATAATATAAAATTCTAAGCTTCTGAAAAATAGGAGAACAAAATTATAACATATATATGATTTAGAGACCACGTTAAATGGAAATACAAAAAAATAGTCAGTAACTATATTGGATACTCCCGCTAGTTAATGAGAAAGCATGTCCGAGACTATTGTGTCATATTTACTAGATCATACAAGCAAGGCTTATCTTCTTAATATGCTATTGCCATGTGATGTGCAAGAAAAATAAAATATTTCGAAAAATGGAGATGGTGAAGAATTGACGAACCTCATGATGAAGATGGACTCGTCGGTGGAAGTGGAGGTGGTGGAGATACGGGAGGAGCTATCAGTTTAGGATTATTGTTGAAACTGGAAGGCAAGAGCTTAACGGTCAGAATATGATCTTGATGAGTGACTTAGTCTACTATGGAAAAAGATGAAAGTAATTGTACTAAACCTGATAGGAGTGAAAAGTTGAAAGGAGCCATTGACTGGAACCGTCCCTGACAAATCGTTATTTGACAGATCACTGTATTTATACATGAAAATGATGATTAATAATTAGTGAGCCAGAAAACAAGAAGCAAAGAAAAACCACCAGTGATAAAGGAAAATTCATGCCCCCGGGCATAGCTCAGTGGTGCAAAGGATAGGAGTGAGGTTATCTCACGTCTTGCTAGCGGCCGCAATGTGGGGGTTCGATTCTTGAGACATGAAATTAGACTCTTTGTAGGCGCAGTATACAAGCAGCTCTTGTTCCCTGACCTGTTGAGGCACATCCCGCTATTTACCTCCCTCACAAAGCTCTAGGAGCAGAACGATAGGATCCTCATAGTTGGAGTTCAACATTTTTTTTTCAAATTCATCAATTCTCTACTTACAGGACTTGAAGTGAAATGACAGTCGTCAGAGACATAGGAATAGTTCCAGTCAAACTATTATTGTTAAGCCTCCTAAGTAGTCCACAAACACACATAATTAGGTTTTAAAGAATCCACGAAATTAATATCACAAAAATACAGTTTCTCCTGAAAATTTCTCAATAATTAGTAGATGAGCTTAATGAGAGGGAGATAATGCGTTAATAAATTCTTCAAATATAATCTATCTATGAGGCCTTAATATCGTATGAGACAAAAAGTTCAAGCATTGTTCCCAAATTTGTTTTAGCAATTCTCAATAGATAAAGAAAAAATTACTTTGAAAGGAGAAAAATATAGGAAAAAGAATCAAGAATCCTACTCTAAATGTTCATATCGGGGGCTCTCAAAAACAACTGTCTAAGGCCAATTTGTAACCTCTCTCTGGCAAAAACTTTAGATAAAGAAAAGGAAAGAAAGCCATAAAATATTTAGATAAGAAATAGAAGGTGTATCACGTACAGGAAGCGTAATCTTTGAAGCTGGCCCAGGGTCACCGGGATGGGACCAGTTAAACTGTTTAAATAAAGATCCAAGCTCACCAAGTTTGTTAAGTTCCCAAGATCAGTTGGAATTCTTCCACTTGTATTGTTACTATAAAGTTCCCCGCAAAATGCATATAAAAAGGGAAGAGGGATGCAAAGGTTAAGATGATAATATGTAAACAAATATTATGCCAATGGGAAAAAGCAACTTGCAAAAATTATAAGTGCATATCAAT